CTTTCCCTGATAGGAGTCGGCCTCATGGAGGTTGTCATGGAGCCTGATATGTGCTGTGGGGAAGAAGCAGCTGCAGCAGTCAGAGAGCTTCAGCTCATTCTTCAAACACTTGGGAGCAGCCAGGCAGTCATGGCAGGTACAGAAGGGGGAAGGGCACATTCCCTTGTCACCAGTAATTCTCTGCATTTCCAGGAGTTTTGCAGCTTCTGGTTATTTTGCTCTGTGGTTGCTTACAACACATAGCCTTTTCTAGCTGTTGTTTTTACAATCCTCAGAGCCTGTTCTAATGTCTGCCGTGCTTCAGGTATCCTTATGGGCCTGCCTTCATCTGCAGAGCTTTGCAGTGCTAGATTTTGTATTGCCTCACACAATAATTTTACAGGATAAACCTAGGCAGGAAGGAATGTCCCCAGGGTTCTTGTGGTGTTTCTCCCTGTCTGTCCTCATCTTGCTTGCCACAGCACTGCAGCACAGAAATCTGTGGTAAGGATTAGTTGTAGAATATGGAAGTTATGGGGCAAAGTAGTGGGAGCATGGGTGATCTTGTAAATTGTGTCAGATCTCAGCTGGTCATAACATGAGTGTAGTCAGTAAACTTGTGCTGGTGTCATCAATGAAATGGAGTAAACGACAGTGCGTAGCAGATACGGGTGCCAGGGTTAATTTAAGAACCAGTGAGATTGTTGTTTTTACCCTACTTGATCATTTCACGCACTCACTTTGTCCCTCCCGCCCCTCCAGCATTATGTTCACTAGGTCGCAACTTCTCTTCCCACTACGGAGATCACTGCTGGTCTGGGGAGGTGGGCCAGAAAATTGTGCTGGTTCGTGCTGTGCAGCAGGCTTGCATAGAATCATAGAATCGTTTAGTTTGGAAAAGACTGTAAGGATCATTGAGTCCAACCGTTAACCTAATACTTGCCAAGTCCACCAAACCACGACCCTAATCGCCACATTTACACGTCTTTTTAATACCTCCAGGAATGGGGACTCAACCACTTCCCTGGGCAGCCTGTTCCAGTGCTTGACAACCTTTTTGGTGAAGAAATTTTTCCTAATATCCAATCTAAACCTCCCCTGGAGTGACTTGAGGCCATTTCCTCTAGTATAGTTGTCTGTAAAAGTATTTGGATTTTTTTTTTTCAAGGTGGTGCTTTTAAGGGCTTTCTACTGTGGTTTTCCCTCATCATAATTACTTGCTTTCAAATAAGGGCTTTACATTCTCACATTTTACCTTCATTCTACTTGTGTGTTCAGTGAAGACAAGTGCTCAGTTTTATCAGGTGTTATTTCATTAACAACAAACAGATGAAAAGATTATTTCATTGCAAAGTGAAAGGAAAAGAAGCAGGGCTTAAAGTGGGCTTACAGGAAAAAAGCTTCTTTAAGAACATTTGAGGCCTGGCTCTCCTTTCACTTACGCCTGATTAACTTCATTATCTTGTCACACTGACACCTGCATCCAAGTAGAAGCAGGTCATGTCTCAAAATGAATCAAAGGCAGGACAAGACTATTCCTCTTTTGGAACAAGTACTCATTTCACCCCAAAGAGGGAGCACATGCAAAACACTTCTCTTGAAAGAGGTGTTGGGTCATTCCAGCACCTTTGTCCTTCATTTGCATGTCTGGCAAGACTCTGATTTAGTGCACTATCATCCAGCCTACTTTTACAAATGTCTTTACCAAGGCCTCTCTTGTCAATTCAAATCTATTAACCGGAATGGATTCTGAAGCTGTAGACCTCTTCACAAGTTTAACTCTGAGCTAGCTCAATTTTGCTCTCTCTCTTTAATAATGCTACTGTATCTAAACAGTAAGTGTTTGTTTCTTTTTATCTGTATTTGAAATTTAAAAAACTCCACAACCCAGAACAGAGAGGAAGGCTACTGATGTTCACTGTGCAATATGGGAAAAATGATGTTTCTTTTTAATACAACCTCTCCTGTTTGTTTATTGCCACCAGTTGAATAACTGTGGCAAGCCTTTTCTTCTCAGAAGGGATGACTTTACAGGGACAAAACTTAAAAAGATACAATTGCGAGTTATTTGTGGTTCAGTCATTAAAGATCTTTAAGGACAGTATTCCATTTTGGACTAAAAGTGCAGGATGCTTTTATATATAACTTTGCGTTCAGTTTCAGTTTTTGGAAGACAGGGAAATTTGGGGCAGGGTGGGGAGATTGCAGTTTCTGGAAGGAGAGGAAGAAAATTACCAAAAAATCCACTACTACTCACACTTTTGTCCTTGAGCTGTAAATTTCCAAGAACACCTTAGTAAATCTGTTCAACATAACTGTAAGTTCTTGTGTTCCATGCTAGAATAGTATATATCCATCAAATTGTAATTCCAAAAGGTATTTTTATGCTGCTTTAAGAGGAATGGAAGCTCATAATCCACCATTTTAAATTGCTTGTCTAATTCTGCTCTTTATTTAAGAGCTGTGAGTCAGAAGCTTTTTTTCACTAAATGGCTTAGGGGATCTGTGCTGCACTGCACCATGCAGTTTTCTCTGAGAGGAATTATGAGCAATAGCTTTTTTTAAAAAGTAGTATTCTCAGAAAATTTTGAATGATTGGAGACAGTCTTGAGATAGAATCACAAACAGAATGCTATGATGAGGTAGTTTTTACTCCTTTCTAAACATATGGAAGTCTGCTATTAATGTTTTGCATATAACATGCAGTTTATTAATGCATGCCAAGGTTTTTACTCTAGTTTACAGGGCAGGTAATTCTGTTGATGAAGTTTCCTTTTACAGAGGGTCAGCTGCGAGTGGATGCCAATGTTTCTGTGCATCACCCTGGAGAGCCTTACGGAGCGAGGACTGAAGTGAAGAATATCAATAGCATACGATTCCTGGCAAGAGCAGTAGGTAAATGATGGTTGCTTTATTACAGGAGCATTGTACATATTTTATGTGGTCTGACATGAAATATGTCAGGCTCCTGAGTGCAGTAATTGGCCTTAAATGCCCTGATTAGCTTCACTTTCATGTCCCATTGATGCACCCAGCCCATGGATACAGAAGTCCCATTGAAGCTCAGGCTGGGGCCTTTGCCTGATCTACATCACAGGTGTGCCAGTTTTCTGTGTTGCCAGTCTTGTCTCCTGGTGGACCTTGGACCTTTTCTGTAGTCTTGTTCCCAGTCCTGTCTCTGTCTCCTATCCTTCTGCTTCTGACTGAACCCCTTGGAAGGACCCTGGACCCAACTCATCCCCTCACCTTGACTGAGACTGTCAGTTAGTAGCACATGCCTCTGCCCATGCTGTTCAGACCAGTGGGACTGCACCAGACAGTGAGGACCCTGCCTTTGCTGTTGTCACCCTCGGCTCCTGGCTTATCCCTCCTTGTGGGCAGCCCTGCTCTTGCTGCTTCCTGACAGAATAGGTCTTAATATGGGGTACTGTGGTGGTAGCAGCCATGTTACTCTGCAGTTTTCTGGCAGAGGGTTACCTCTGCCTGCAAAAAGAATAAATGATGATTCAATGCCTAGCAAGTTTAGTACTAAAATGTGTTACCAGTAGCTCTTTGTCCTCCAGTGTAGGCTATTGCTTTCCACTGAGTGTAGTAGGTGGTGTATGTGAAGTTCAGATGCAGCTTGGGTATGAGTAAGAAAGGGTGATTATTACATCTCCAAACAAAAACTCAACTGGGTGATTGGAAGGTCACTAAAATGTATGGCTTGGCTGCAGTGCCTGGGAGAAAATGTTTTCTATTTAAAGGGAATGAAAGAAGATGAGGAAAACGCGCAAAGAAATGGTGCTGCAGGGAGAGACAGTGACTGATAATTCTGCCTGTAACTACTGCTGTTGATTTCATTGAGGTTAAAACAACAAACTATTCCATTATCGCATAGCAGTGAAAAATGAAATAGTGGAGTGTACAAAAGCTAATAATACAGTATAACAAGCTTATTCTTTTTTCTTTTGTTTCTGTCAGACTATGAAATACAGAGACAAATTGAAGAACTTGAAAACGGAGGAACAATTCTGAATGAAACAAGAGCCTTTGATTCCAAGCTTGGGTGAGTTTTTATTTTGAAGTAACATCAGGAATAGTAGTGCCACGGATACCTAGTGACATGATCAGGAGAGGTAACATAGTATTGCTCAACTCTGTCTTCTAAAGCTGGTGTTCACAAGCATAGTCTCCTCACAGGTAATAATTTTTTATGAAAGTTGAGGCTTTTTCATGACAGATTATGCGCTACATCAAGCAGTGTCTGTGTGAAAATGACTGCCCTATTATATACGCACACGCTTTGAGGTGGCTTTAAGAAGCTCTCCTGATCTTCATGACACAAAGTTTTTGTTTTGTGTTTTTGCCATAAAACTAATTCTGTGGTGTACCTGTTACCACATCTTGTTTTGTTTTTATTTTAGGTGCACTGTACCCATGAGAGACAAAGAAGGAAAACAGGATTATCGGTATTTTTTTTAAAATAAAGTTAACATTTCAAGAACTGAGAATTTATTTCATTTCTTACGTATAGTCAGTGTAATGAGCATGTAAAGCTAGTCAGTATAAGTGAGTATGTATTGGAAGTTTACCTTCCACTGGAAGGGGAAGAGACCTATCAAAATCAGCCCTAGTCTGAATAGTTCAGATCTAGAACTGTGTCTCATCTCTGCTAAAACTTGTAGACCTTTCCCAAAAACTAAGCTGGAGTACCTTAACTAACAGGGGGTAAGTTGAAGGTTTACTTTGTGGCCAGTACAAGTGTATTCTTAAGAATGCCTGAGATAAAACATAAGAATATTCTGAGTTAAGCATTGCTGCTGCTTTAAGTAAATACTGAGGGAAAGGATTTTCAGATGGCAGGTCCTGCCTCTCCATGCTAAATCTACATATATTCCACCACTGATCGTACTAGAGCTGAGCAAGGATTTTGAAAACATCCTACAAACTTTAAATTTAAATCTGCTTTTTAAATTATCATTTGTAGAAATGTAGCAGACATTGATCACTTTATGAATTCCTTATTATGGTAGGGGCTGGAGTGAGGCTTATTTAATAAGACTAATTCAAACAAAATGCAAAAGAAAATCCATGAAAACCTAGACAAAACTGTAAGTCTAAGATATCTCAAATAGAGACCAGAAAGGTTATTACTAGTACTAAGATTATGATCAGTATTAAATGGTGTTTTTCAGATTTTTTTTTTTGTAGTTTACTGCTGCACATTGTACATTAAACATAAAATCTGTGTTTAGGCAGATTTGAAATGGAAATTATTCTAGTGAATGTAGAGGGTGCCTAATGTCCTTTATTCTGATCTTTTTGAACCCCTCATTTCGTCGTGTAAGAGTGAAGTTTCTGCTTCAATCATAGTTATTCCAAAGGTTTGAATTGACCTTCTCTTTAAGGGATCCTTTTGTTCTGTGATGGCACCCTGCTGAGCACAATAACTTTGCTTTTAGCACAGCATGAGATTTCATCAAGACTTTTGAGGTTAGTCTGGAAAAGGTTGCAACCTGCCCAGATCACTCCTGGCAGTTGGCTGTTAGTCTGTGTTTTTCCCCTGCCAATCCACTCACGTTTTGTCCAGATGCACAATTCATGCATGACGCCAAAAGGAATGGGTTGTTTCCATATCTGTTATTATTGTTGCTATTTTTTATTATTATTTTGGGTACAGAAGTGTTTTAATTGCCCCTTTTCTGTTATCTACTCTTGGACAATCCGTGGCAAATACTTAAAGAACTTTACAGCAGTTTGGGGGCTGATCTTTTATTACTTACCATGAATTTTTAATATTTTGTTTGGTTGAAATAGTAATATAACTTCCAGCTAAGCACAAACTTGTGATGTGGATTTTATTGCTCATTGTTTAGCTTCTGACTGAAAACAATCATTTTCACTAGGTTCATGCCAGAGCCAAACCTTCCTCCATTGATTCTCTACGATGCTAAATCTTTGCCAGCTAATATGAACCATCAGCAAGTGGTAAATATTGATTGGATTCATGGGAGACTTCCTGACCTCCCCAGTGTGAAGAGAACAAAGCTTGTTGAACAGTATGGGATTCTTCCTGAACACAGCTTCACCTTATTGGTAGGTGTATTGATCAAGTGCTAAAATAAGCCTAGAAACTTCAAAGTTGCATGGTTTTTGAAAAGATTTACAAATGTCATATTAACTAGCTGTCAGTTCTCATGGCCAGTGCATACTTTGTACCTACTTTCTACACAGAAGGGTGGGAAAAAGAAACTATACACATTGTGCCTAGAAGAAGCGTTTCTCATGCAAGGTGTAGTCAAATAACTTATTTAATATTGATCTTGTCTGTCTACACATGGATGCACCCGTGACTGACTGCAACAAATGTACAACTT